AAATGCATCCACGGTAATCATTATTTAAAAAGTCACATTGATGTGGGCTTGGACATACATAAATAAAATACACAATGACTTAACCATGATTAAATCTCTGTTGTTTTCTGTTATTCATTAACTGTCTTCTTTTCCTTTGCCTCAGGTTCGGGGTGTACGTCCCAATGTGCTGTTTCCACCAGGAGGGGGCAAAAGCGCAGTCGCCCTCCTCGGACTGTGAGTACCCCGAGGATCACCCGCAGACGGAGCTGGCCGAGACCCCGTTCTTCAGGCCACGGGACTTTCTCTTTCTGCTGCGTGAAAACCTCCGGGAGCAGTTCTCCAGCCCTCCGCTCATGCCCACCCACAAATGCCCGCCCCCCATGCACTCACACACCCCCGACATGATCCGCGCCGAGGTGGAGGAGCTCAAGAGCGACTTCAACAGGCGGATCAAGGAAGTGCTGTTCAACTCGCTCTTTAGTGCCTACTATGTGGCCTTCCTCCCTCTCTGCTTTGTCAAGGTGTGTATGACGGTATATTTTACATTAACTATAACTAGCTATAGTATAATTCAGACCTGTAGCTTTATCTGCTTTCGTTGTCGTTACAAATATAGAAACAAAAAGTATAGTAGTAGTCCATTTCTTGTAGGGATGCAATGATACAGTTATATATACTGTTATAATAGTTCAGCTGTTTTCTTGCTGCATCTGAGGAGGATGCCGAGGTAACTGTTTTCCTTTCGGACCAAAATTAATGACTACATCGCGCGCATAGAATCACGACACCAGTATCGAACAATTTGATATTATATCAAATATTGTTGCATCCTTTGTTTCTTGTGTTTTAGTGGTTGGTTTTGGCTTAACATTGTCACATTACATTAGACTAATTAAATATGATGACTGATTTACTCTGCATTTGCAATTAATCCTTTAAAGCTGCATTGTGTAACTTTTCAAGGGGAGGGTCCATCACCCGCTTGTTTCTATGGATATGTCATTGCTCTACCTGGGATATTCCACAGTATGGTATCACATCTTTTTATCATCATGGAAACCAAACTAGACCAAGTGACACGTCAGATCTGAGGAAAGGCAATCCTGCTCAGAATGTCAGTTTTTCTAGGTATTTTTGAGCTATAAAACCACCTGTAATTTAATAAATGTAAGGTAGAGCTGTTTAACCTTCCAGGCAGAGTAATGACATAGAAACAGGACGGACACCCTACCAAAAAGTTACATAGTGCACCTTTAACATGACCTTCTTCTAATGATAGCTTCTTCATTTTCTCTCACCTCCTCCCTGGTCACCAGAGCACCCAGTACTACGACATGCGCTGGTCGTGTGAGCACCTGATCATGGTGTGGATCAATGCGTTTGTGATGCTCATGAGTCAGTTACTTCCTCCGAGTTACTGCGACCTCCTGCACCGCTCAGCCGCTCACCTCGGACGATGGCAAAAACTGGAGCATGGCTCGTACAGCAATGCCCCTCAGCACATGTAAGTCTCTATGGGTAAATACTGTGGGACATGGAATAATAAGGAGAAGGTGCTCGTTAATTTTGCAACTTATTTAAATAATTTGTTATATTTTGATATGTAAATAAGGAGGAAATATTGTATTTAATGACCTATTACCCATAAAATGCTTTCAAAATGTATTCTCGTTTGTTGTATCTTGAATTTTTTTTTTTTTTATTCTATGACCGTAAAAAGCTAAATAGGAAAATGGTATTCTTCTATAATTACAGTATTTTCTTGTTAGATTTCCTTACAATTATTGTAAAATATAAAATTTATTCCTCAGTGATGGTGCCTGTGGTGACCAGACAATGAATCATTATGTGAAGCTTAAATCTCGTAGTGATGTAAATGTTAATTGTGTGTTGTTGACGTATTTTGTGGTTCATTTTCAGGTGGTCAGACAGCACCATTTGGCCACAGGGAGTGCTGGTGCGACACAGCAGGTCTCTGTATAAAGCAGTTGGGACTTATAATGTTGCTTTGCCCTCCGATGTGTCGCATTCAAGGTTTTATGTGAGTATCATTAAACATTTAGCAGTAGCATGTAATGAGTTTGTGTAAAGAGCCTGTGCTGGATCCTACATCAAGGAGTAGTTGGTATAAAATTGAAAATCTAATCTCTAAGTACACTCTAGGCTATTCTGTGGAATCTATGTAGTTTTAAAACCAAACTTGATAAAATACCTAACAGTTTTATTATTGCTGTAGAAGTTTTCCCCTTGTCCAAGAAAGGGTGGAAGTAAAAGGCTGGAGACCAACTGGATGTCTTAAGCAGGAGAAGTTTATTTACCACCAAAAATATGGGCCCGAGGGGACTTGAAAAGTCAACATAATATGATTTCACAAGTGAACATAGTATGGCCTTTGAGTGTTCAAGCTCCTTGACTCTGCTTCCAAAGGAGAAGGTTTATAAAGCAAGTGTAGTGAGACTATGAAGGCACCGGTTAGACAGCAATATGCCACAATTTAGATAATATTATGCCAGTGGTATGCCAAGGGAAGATAATCGTGTTACTATAGCTCCTGTGAGTCACTGAGAGATGTACGTGAAGGATAAATTATTTAATTCTCTTACAATTATTATTGCTTAATATTACATATAGATTTAATCTCTGCCAGTCTCTGGTGAGTACCTTTTCAATTTTCTGGGTACTTTTTGGATACCTTTTTTTGGCACTTATTTCTGTATTAAAAGGGAAAAATAGATTAATCTCTGATGTATTTGCCTGAAAAAAGATCTAATGAAATCAAACTTGTGTGTGTCCAGTTTCTGTTCCATAAGCCGTTGCGGATCTTGAACCTGTTGATCTGGATCGAGTCGAGCGTGGTCCTGTACCAGCTGTATTCTCTGCTGCGGTCCGAGCGCTGGAACCACACTCTGTCTCTGGGCCTGATCCTCTTCTGTAACTATTACGTCCTGTTCAAACTGCTCCGCGACAGGATTGTTCTGGGGAAGGCCTACTCCTTCCCCGTGCCCCCCACCAGCCTCGGACTTAAGTCTCAGTGAGAGTCCTCCTTTTGGGCCTCTGTACCCCAGGTGGAGATTAGGGGACAATGTGAACTCATAATCGTGTTTTGATACGGTTATATTTTTAATGTTTATATATATAAACCTATTTAAAAGAATATTTTATTTTGTATACTGTTTCAAGTTACTCCGGGCATTTCCGTGTTGACGACATGAGCATGTTGTATTGTGTTGGTGACAGGGACATCGGGAAATGCCAGGAGATGACTTTCACCAAAGATCTTTTAAGTGCAGGAGGCCAATCAGAGAGAGGGCCTGGCTGTTCAGAGCAAGTGGTTCAGCCTGAAACCTTTAGTCCCCTTCAGCGATTTCAAACTAATTCATTTGATCAAACTCCTTTGGTACTCCTGACATTTGCCTATGTTGGGATCACAGCATTACATTGTATTCAGTGTATTATTGCTTTAGTGCCTGCCTATTCTGCACCCTGGGTTTTTTCACATGTCCAATAACACCACCTGCTTCCTTACATTGCCTTAACTTCTGTCTGATTGTTCCATTGGCTGCTGCTCTGGTCTGACCAGAAAAAAGTGCTTATTTTTGTCGCTAAAAAGCCTCATCCTGTTTTTGTTTAGTTTTTTTCTTAAACCATCGAATGGTATTGAAAGACACACAGTGCATTCAGTCTATTTTATTTTTCTAGATTGAACCAAACCTCAAGTGGCTAAAGATTTCACATCTAACGTGGTGCCCACTGTGAATGTTTCCTTTTTATTTCAGTGGAGTTGAATGAAAACTGATTTTCAATAGTGACATGCCGTGTTACCAAAATGGTGTTACAGACAGGTGTTACAAGTTGCTCTGCATGTTGTTACCTTCTGTTTAACCACATTTTTATATTAAGTGGTTTTGGTGAAACCTCTGCTTTTCATGGATCTACTTCTGTTTTGCATTTCCCACTGCAGTATTTTTGTCAAATAAATTACCATATTTCATTACATTTCATCTTTATTTTGAGAGGTCTCTAAAATTAAACCACTTGTATAACTGAGTGCCTCATCTGTAACGGGTTGTTCGTGTGCTCCGTAAATGCCATAAATGCGCCCATAATTCAACTTATTGGGTGCTTCTGTATTGTTTTCTATACATTCAGTCATTTCAACTTGAATGCTGGTTTACTCATCTACATTTGATGGTGCTGTTGACTTGGCATGTTTCTGTTTTTGTTCAACTTGAGGTGACCACCGAGACGAAAGTATAATTTTGAAATTGGTATAAATATTATGTCAACTGTGTCGACTTCTTAATAAAGTTCTCAAAGTGGCTGGCAGGCGTTTTGACCTTTGCCATGTGCCAGGATGGTTTTCAAATCTTTGGTCTTACACATTTATTCAACAACTGTATTTGAACAAAAATTAAGGCTGCAACTATCACTATGAATAATCGTGACTAGTACAACTAACTGAATACTTTAATCATTGTTAAGGTACACTTCAAGGTTAGGTAAAACATGTGTAAGGAAATTTGTCCTCTGCATTTGACCCATCCTTCAGTGTCGCTGGAGCATCTTCGCAGAACACTGACCACCACACTGCATGCTCAGGGACACTTCTCCATGATCTTGTGGTTAGGCTTGGTCAGGATTACCTTACCTGGGGGATTTTACAGGGTGCATGTTTTGGGTTTAATTGTTAGACTGTTTAACCCAACCCTAACCCAAAACGTGGGTTGAATAGCCTATAAAATGGCATGCATTTGAGTCAAAAGATGTTTTTATCAATACAATAGCAGCATTATTAAAACTAAATAGCAAAAATAATGAACAAGTCGTGATTTATGTAAAACGCTTAAATCAAAAATGGATTACTTACAGTCTGTAGTCTGCATAATTTACAATAATCAGGTTTAAATTGAATGTAACAAATCTCATTGTGCAAAAGAAATAACCATTTGACTAGATGACAAATACATATACTAGTCGACTACTAAAATAATTGTTAGTTGCAGCAAAAGTACAAAACATGGTTGCTGTTGTTTATTGCATTCACGTGTGTTGTCTCCAGACTTGACCACCAGAGGGAGCCAAGTGTTTATACATTCTTGTAATTGACTTCTGCCAAGCTCCCGTGAGAACATTACCCAGTCCACACACATTTGAAAGTCAAGGCACCTTAGTTTGCTTTCATACATTCAAATGCATCAGTAGAAATTTATTACAGTGCAATCTCAGGATACAGTTTAAATGATGCTCCACGCACAGTTCAGAGGTCAGCCTGTAAAATCTGAGCAAGTCTGTCAGTTTAATGTCTTTATAGTTGTTTTATGATGGTAAGAAATCCTCTGACTGTTCTGGGTGGAGGTTCAAAGGGACAAAAAGAATGTTGCAGCAAATAAGAAAATAATAATTGAGATTCATAGGTGCAATGTGTTCGTTTTCTGGTGCCATGGTCTTCTTCAAATGTCGTTAAACTTCTTTTTCTTGCATTTATTCCATTCCAGGTGTTATTGCGAAAAAAAAAAAAATCTTTAAAAAACATACATTCGTTCTTTGAGCAGGTTTGCCACTCCACAGATCTAACCTATAACTTGGCCCGGTCGCACTTCCTACTTGTCTACATGGAGATGGGTAAGTTTGGTGCCATACGGTGGAAACTTCTAGGCAAAGAAATCATCTCCATAGAGACAACAACAGAAAAGTTACACAGTGCACCTTTTAAAGCTGCTCCCATAACATCATACATATACTTACAAGTTACAACCTCTTTCTAATTACTTCCACATAAACTAGACAACAATCCAAACAAAAAGGCACTTATGCATACTGTACATTCTATATTATATTTATCTACTGTTTACTGGTGTCTCACAAACTTGCAGCTTGCCATCAGGCTCAACACTTATACCACTCTTTTCTTATCTCTGGCTTGGGCTTTATTGTAATTCTCACAATAATCAGTGCTTGTTCTGTGGCTGATGTCTTAACCAATTTAGGTTAAAGGTCCTATATTACACAGAATTAACTCTTGAGAGCTTTAAGCCATGTTATAATGTTGTTACCTCATCAAAAACGTATCTGGATTTGTGTTTTGTTTCATTCACACATTTGACCAACCCTTAATTATCAGTCTGTTTACATTTCCCAAGCCACATGAAGCAGTAGTTTTCAAGTTTTGTTCAGTAGAGATATTATCCAAATTGTTCTAGTGAAGGTGTAGGAAATTTAATAACACAGTGGAGCACTTAATATGCAGGATTTGTGTGTTAAACATGTGTGAATGAAACAAAACACAACTCCAGGTATGTTTGTGATGAGCAAACATATAACATAGATCTGAAAGTAGCGTAGTATGGGCCGTTTAAATGCATTTCTGTTCTCTTCTCGTCTTCTGCTTCTTAGGTCTTCTCAACCTTCTCTACAGTCCACAAAGTTCCCCTTGATCCAGTAGCAGATTTGGGCATATTTTAGAGGAGTGATTCGGACTGCCACATTGTAGTCCTGGGAATCCCCTTGCTTCTCCACCCACTGATGGCCAGAGAAAACCCCTATGATTTTGCGTTCCCATTTGCCTCGTCGGGGGTCCCACATGCGGGCATAGACCCCCGACCCACTGGCCCCGGGCTGAGCATCGCAGTGCTGATACAACAGGTCAGGGGTCTCTTCACCAGCCGGGCAGAAACGGTAAACCAGATGCCCCGGTCGATCATTATCAAATCCAGAAAAGTGCACTCTTCTTCCAGGTAGTCTCTGGGCAGGTGGGCTCACTCCTAACTTCATATGATGACGTTTATGGGGCTTTTTCAGCTCGAGGAGGGCATAGTCATAGTCCATGCCAATGTCGTTAGCGTTGGCTTTTATCCAGCCTTTGGGCACATGAGTACGCCTGGCACGAATCCACTGAAACTTCATTTTGTCATTAGTTGGAGGTGCATACGGTGAACTAGCGTGATTGGTCAAATTTAAGAAGAGATTTGTCGATTGTGCGTCACGATTTTTGGGTTTTAGGAAGCCCACTCGGAGTCTCTGAGCTCCTTTCACGTAGTTCTTTCCATCGTGGACACAGTGAGCCGCTGTGAGCACGTGCCTGTTCCCCACCAGAGTCCCAGAGCATCCCGTGGACAGTTTAACCGCCACTGAAAAAGGAAACTGGAGCAAATAGTCCTGGCCCGCAATACTAAACCTCCCATCATGCCCAAAGATCTGCCTTTTCCTCCTCACATGCGCCTCCCTCTTCCCCCGAGACCTCGCCTTGTAAAGCATAGATGTATCAGAATTTGGATTGTAGCCATAGATCCCAACAGAAGTCGAGGTTAGACTCCCGTTTGAGTGAAGCGTCTCGTAGGATAAAATATTTCGGAGGTCCCAGTAGCTCGGTTTGGGGGCTTTCCTATGGCAGTCTGGGTCACAGGAGGAGCTGACGTCCAAACGAGCCTGGGACAGGAAGTGGGGGGCGGGGCCGAGTTCAGTCTGTTGGGGGAGGACCACCGGGACCCTCTGGAGCACCCATTCTTGGCGAGACCAGCACCCAGGGAGAAGCAGGAAGAGGCCAAGCACAGGGATGAGGGATGGAGATCTGCAGATAGTTAATAAAGAAAAGTATTTAAAAACATCATATTTTTATTGCTCTGTGTAACTTTTCTGGTGGAGGTTCTGTCAAAAGCTTTTTTATCTTCATGGAGACCAAATCAGACCAATTTACAGTCAGAATGACGGTTTTTTGAGCTGTAATTTAATAAATGTAAGGTTGTTTCATATTATAGTGTAGAACATTCCAGGAAGAACAATGACATATCCACAGAAACAGGCAATTGATGGACCCTCAACCAGAAAATTTACACAATGCATCCAAAAAGTATGACTATTTCTTTTGCAATGTTTCTATTTCTTTCTTGAGTAAGATGCTATCATTTTGGAGATCTGAGCTGCTTTTGTTTTGGCTGCTCTACCCGTGACTTTTTGTTTCAAACTATTTTGTGTACTGAATGATATGAGGTATTTTGGAAATGTCTGTCTCACTTTGTTATTAGATAAGACGTAATGTGTTTTTAATAGTCATAATGATGACAGTTGTTTGGAAAAACCACAATGTGATCTTGCTTTATTATTTTTACACAATCGTTTTAGAGTGGGTCTGTACCACTCAGAACTTTGATTAGGCAGTTCTGTTACCAGTGGAGGAAGCCAAAGAAGTAAAAGTAGTAAAGTAACTTGTTAAGTAAAATGTTAGCTATCTGTACTTCAGCAAATTTTTAAGTGGATACTTATTACCTTTACTTCACTACATTTGAGAGTAGGTATCTGTTCTTTCTACTCCATTACATTTGTGATCTGGACAAAAAAGTAAAAGTATTCTGAAACCTGTTGAGAAGACAAAGGAGATGAATTTTAGCACATTTGTAATTTGAGCAAACAAAATATACAATTAAAAACAGCAAGGAAAAAATGTTACTCATTTGTTTCTGTTGAACTAAATCCAGCCCAAATCTGTATAAAAATCACTATTTTGAAGCTTTATAAGACCTCAAAAACTGTGTGAAATACTTTTTACTCTTTAAGTACATTTTTAAACAGGTGTTTTAATACTTTTACTATTTAGATTTTCATGTGATACTTTTACTTGAGTATTTATTTGCTCCGGTATCTGTACTTTTACTTAAGTAACAAAATTGAGCACTTCTTATACCAGGGTCTATTACTGGAGACCAATAACATACATCATGTTAATTAAGCTACATGAAACAATGCTTTTACATAATTTTACTGTTAGATCTGATTATTCATATATGGTTACATTACAGAACAGCGAGACAGACAGAGATATTTTGATTTTTTTTTTTATCATGAGAGAGATATGGCAGTCATAAACTTCCTCTGTTTTTAATAGTGCAGTTTTGACAGTCAGGGCAAAGATCGGGCTTTAGGCTCTGATGGAAAATTCCAGCATGGCCCCAGGGACTGCTATACTGCATCAGAGGACAAATAACACCAACTCTGGCTTTAAAATGACTGTATGGATCAGCAGCTTAGCCAGAGGAGATTGTATGGATCAAGTAATAATATAGGCCACTATAAGAACAATAAGTTATAGGACCCTTAATCTGCAAGAGTATGACAACATGGCTAACTTTAGATGAAATGTGCCATAATATTTTTGGCCATGGGGTTTATTTTAATGTTATTACTAGGCCTAGCTAATTACTTCATAATGTCTCAGCAATTATGGGGTTAATTCTTTCTTTTCTGGGTTATTAAAAAGCGTTCAATCAGCACTATTAACTTATGATGACTATAACCTTGCTCATTTGGGCGTAAAACCAAGTAAAGCCACGTGAAGCATAGAACAATGTGATGTGAAATAACGCAGTAAAGTGGGTTAGTGGTTAATCTGCGGTTTGGTCACAATGAAAACTTGACTTACGCAGCTGAGGAGCGCATGACTGGAGCAGGTGAGGAGCCACAGAGCAAAACGGATCCCGGTTTAAAAGTTTTTGTCTACTTTAAGCTCTTTTTTAAGTTCTTCCTTTATTCCTTTTCCTTCAGATGACTGTGTTCCGTGGCAGAGCGGAGGAGAGGCGCACAGCGGAGGAGCGCAGCGCTGGTCCTGGGTCAGTCATGGTGCTCGCGTGAACTGAGCGAAAGATGCGCGAGCGCCAGCGCACGGAGAGATGGTCACGTGACACCACTCCTCCACTTTACATCTGTTTTATTTCATCGTGTTTTGATGAAGCCAGTCACGTTTTAGAGCATTATGCTTTCACTGCTGATTTCTTTAGGGATTTTATTGTACTGCCAGTCATTAGAAGGATGATTGTGGATTATTCAAACTCATGAAAGTCATTTGCATTTATTTCACGCCTGCATAAAAACTTGACGAGTTTAATTTAAAGGTGCACTGCGTAACTTTTCTGGTACAGGGCCCGCAACCTGCTTGTCTCTATGTTCTTATTTCCTGGAATGTTTAGTAGTACAGCATTTAATTTAACTAACTAGCTCCAAAATAGAGACAAGCATCCACATCACATCAGCCAAGTTATAGATCAGATCTGTGGAGAAGTGGACCTGCTCACAGTAACAATGCACGTTTCTGTGGTAGTTTTGAGAAATAATAAACATCTGTAATTTAATAAATACAAGATATATTTGTTTACTGTGATACATTCCAGGCAAAGCAATAACATCACCATGCAGACCCTCCACCAGACATTGCATCCAAAAATAAGAATTAAACTCAGAATTTGTTATCTATATTTGCACGAAACATAAAAATGCCTGCTTCCTGTTTTCAACTTGCATGGATTTTCAGTGTTAACAGAGCCTTGACATGATGTTTTGTTGTGAATGGGACAGACAGACAACAGCTGATAGGAGACTGGGCCAAACCAAAGGCCAAAACAGGACAGATGCGATGGAGGAGGAAGAGAGGGATGAGTGGTGATGATGCACAAACGGATGAAAAACAGTAACAGTTCTTTGTTTGTTTGTGTTTTAAGGCTTTGACCATGACTTGTCTTCCTGTCTCTGCACTGACCCTTTCCCATCCTTTATGTTGGCAGCTCAATCCGTTTCCCCTCTCACTACATTTATCCAGTTAACAGCCTCTGGTTCAGAGCCAATGACGTCTCTCTCACATAGTTTAACACGGCCTCAGTTTTTGCACAGGGACTATTTGGAGATTTTGGTGTTTCATAATTCAGCCACAAAAAGTCTGAGTTGTTTGGGCCTGTTCTGAGGTTAGCGGTTCAATCCCAGCTCTGAGCAGTGATAAGTACTCTTAGACGCTTGCTTAAAGCTGCAGTATGTAACTTCTATCCATTTTCATGACGACAAGCAGAGAGGCAACCCTGATGATCCTAGTTTATTTCATTGTATTGTCCCTAAATCAAAATATGAACATTAATAGCAACAGGTTGATTGAGACCATTGGAAGTGCAAGTGTCCGTCCTCTGAAAAAAACAGCAGTGCGGGGGAGAACAGGCGGCACCTTCTACATCCTTGTTCCTGTTTGCCTTTTTGGTTTCACGCTCAAATTTCCAAACACATGGTCCATAGTTGCAGATTAACCGCTTTGATGAGCTTCATTTGGTTGCAACTGAGCAATATGAGTGACATCTTGCTCCCTTTAGTCCACTTCTTTACACAGTCTATCATTGTTCCACTGCTAATTTGTTTACTTTTTCGAGATAAATAATCAAGAATAAAAATTTCAACAATTTGCTTGAAATTATATGTCAGTCAGTTATGATTTATTAACATGCAGCAGACCCACAAAACACTGTGCCGTATTATCTGCTAGATTAGAACTGTAAAACTATTCACTAAGAATCTGCAAAACAGTTCACTTATTCATACTTTTGATGCGGATGTTTATTCCTTGACATTTTCCTTTGGGGAGAGACTGTCTGTCTAAAGGGCTTGAGAGCACCATGCTTCTTCACAAACATGAATGCAGTTGCAAGGGTGTGACTGAGTGGGTAAGTCTGGGACAGAGACACAAAGAGGCAAGTGAGAGAGGCACAAGTGGTGACTCATTTCTCCTTATCCTGCAGCTATTGGCTTGTGGATAAAACTCTCACATGATCCTCAAAGTGGAACTCAAAGCGTTTGCTGAAGTCTGCTGCTTCTGATTATAGATTTGGAGTTTGCCAGGATGCAGGGTGGACCCACTGGCTCATCACACAGGGCCCACACCCATCCCAGAACACACAGGAACAATTAACCCCGAAACACTCTAAAAACATCCTCAGGAATACAATAATCCTTCTACCAGTTCATAGACTTCATTAAATCTGTCAGGAAAAGGTGGCTCTAAAGGGATTTATGAAATACTGTAAAACTTCTATATGTCCCTTGTGACTAATTAAAAGAACAGTGAAACAAAGATAACTAATGTGTACAATCATTGACTTTTATATTTATTAAAGCAGACCTGTTATGCAAAATCGTCTTTTAACCAGATTATAGTTGTTTTCCCTTCTCATTTACCTTCTCGAAGTTGTATTTGGAGTAAGTCGTGCATGTTTTAGTAATCTTTAATCACTTATTTTCAAGACGTCATATTGCTGATTAGTCCCCATTTTCACCGTCACTGGCAAACGCCGACTGCTCCGTGCAAACTTCCTTCCCACTATTTACTTTTCGTAATTGGTGATAAAAGTAAGATTTGGCAGTGTTGAGGGGTCATTTTTCTACAAATGAAAAAAAAATATGTAAAGTGCTCCTATCCATGAGAGGTGCTGACTTTTTGTTGTGAAGACGTTTACGGCGTCAGTTCACATTGGGCACTGCAGTTTTCTGAAGTGGAATTCAGTGGGCTTGTTTCTTTTATTAAGTAATTTTACATGAATATGGTGATTTAAAATGTGCAACTTTTTGGTGGAGAGGAGAGTCTGTCACCTGCTTGTCTCCATTAAGATGTAATTGCTCTGTCATTATTTATCTTGAATTTCTTGAATTGCAGGTGTTGTTATTGATAAAAATAGATATTTAACTACATGCATTCCTTATGTGAGTGGGGTCACCTCTTCACAGATCTGACCTGTAATTTGGTCCAGTGATGCCACTTGCTGGTCTTGTTTAATGCCATACTGTGTAACATTCCAGAAAAGCAAAAACATCTTCATGGAGTCAAGCAGATCCTCCACAATGCTATAAAGTACAAATTGTATTTCAAATTCTAACATTTTTGATTATCTTTGGTTGTCAGAGATTTCAGTATGTGCAGTGTTTTGAAATACCATCTGGATTCTCATACTTCAAAGCTAACAGCAGCTCTTAATTATGTTGCAAAATTATATTTTATCTTATTGATGCCATATTCTCTTTTAGGGACTTTTTGCCCTTTGCTGAAGTGTTCATATCTCGGGTGAATTGAACAATAGAGGAAGTATCACCAGACTTCATGGGTCAGACTTAAGTGCGGCACCTTTCGGTGGTGAGAAATATTCAGGACACAATGTGCTGGCAGGACCTCCTTCTCTGCTTTGATCAGAGCTGGAGTCCTGGCACCAGACACCGCTTTGTGGTTTTCTGACCATTGTAAAAACTGCTAATCATGTTCACTGCTGGATTTAAGGAGGCTAATGTGTTTCTTTTATTTATGGCTTACAGGACAAAGTGCTCTGTGGTATGGATGTCCTTTCTGCTGTGACGTACATACCTCACGCAGCACACCGCACACAGCTGCTGTTGTGTGTGCTTAAAGGTGCACTATGTAACTTTTCTGATGATTGATGATTCTTGTAGTTTACTATCATAATATAATGCAACATTTCTAGCAAAGCAATAGCAAGGTGACAGATCTTCCACACTGAGATTCAAGATTTAAGGATCTATTGTCATTGTCAAAAGTAACAACAAAATTACATTTAGAGCATTTTTTCTTATCTTTTTTCCCCCTTTTCATAGTGCATCTTTAATTTTGAGTCAGTTTTATCCAGATTTTGCCCTCCTCTGCATTAAACCATGTTATGAACTGTGCTGTATTAGTCCTCCAGATTTGGCCTTAGACCTGTGCTGACCTGAATATTCCTGTTATAAACCTGTCTTAGATCTGGTGGTACTCGAAATCTGAAATGCTTTCTTATGCTCTTGTATGAAACGTTGGAAAACTGCTGGCCTGGTTTTTCTTAAGGTGCTGTCTCTTCCCCTTCCTCCTTTCTCCTTCCTCCTTTATGTCCATAAGTTCAGTTTAATATTTTGATAAAAGGCTGTTTGTTTGGCCGTGCCCGCTGTTGTCTGGGAGACTCACATTCTCTGGATACAGCTCAGTTAATTGTTTTATTCCTCCCACTCTGTTCCCTCTGCTTCAACCCAACAATCAAACAAGTGTGGAGCTCTTTACAGTGCAGTTGTTTCTCTCTTGTTTCTTGTTTTAAATAGAATTTGAATGGTATTTTTTTTTTTTATTTTATGGCAGAATACAGTTACAATAAAACAATATAAGTTGTAAAAACATACAACTTTTAAAGCGATCAAAGCATACTTTTTTTTTTCTCATGTTCTTCTTCCCTTTCCCATCTCTGACCATGAGTCATTTGTTCAGCTCTGGTTTTAAATAGACTTACAAATAAAAACAGCTATGGTACAACATTATTATAAGAAAACAATCTGCGTTATAGAAAAAAAAACAACTGTTAAAGCAATCAGAGCATACTTTTTTTTTTCATGTTCTTCTTCCCTTTCCCATCTCCAACCATGAGTCATCTGTTCAGCTCTGGCTTTAAATAGATTTTCTTAAATAGAATTAAATAAACAAATAAACTGCTATGGTACATTATTACAAGAAAACAATCTGTGTTATAGAAAAACACAACTGTTAAAGCTATCAGAGCATACTTTTTTTTTTTTTTTTTTCCATGTTCTTCTTCCCTTTCCCATCTCTGAACATGAGTCATCTGTTCAGCTCTGGTGCTCCCTCGTGGGCCTGAAACAGCTGTTTGGCAAAATGAGATAATCACGAGAAAAGACATTTTGAACACGTTATTTGCTGTGAAATCTTTTAGGGAACTTAAGCCAAGGTTAAAGTTTCAGAGCACAGAGAGAGGTATTCTTGGCCATACATCTATATAATGATTAATGTGGCATGAATGCGTTTTTGCTCGAGAAGTATCACATAAAAAGAATCAATTCAAATGCACTGT